GCTTGTCCTAAGGTTGTGAGACCTTGTCTTTCTCTTTGGCATCACAAAAATGAAAAAGAGTCCCCAAAGTTCATATGGTCATTGCCCCCAGTAGCATTCCCTGGTGCCTTCAGGGTCCTGCTGCAGGTAAAGGGGAGAGGGCTCCAGGTGCTGGCCAGGAGAACCCTCTCCTGAAGGAAAGTGGGAACTCAAAGTAAGGCAAACTGACTTCAGCCTCGGGCTGGACCACTATCCTAACACTGCAAGGAGGAACCTCTTCCAGGCCCTACCCTGAGGTTTGCCCCTGGCCAAACCTTCACCTCTGAGCCCAACTAAGCTTTTCTGACTAAAAAGCAATAAGAGGCTATAAACTTGAGTCCCAGTGACTCTTTCTGCCTTCCTTTAGAGCTCCACGTTTTTCCAGGTGAAGAAAGCCTGTGCTACCCCCTTTCCTACCAGGCTTGTCCAAGTGCTTGGAGTTGAACTGTGACCAAAGCCAGGATGGCTCGGAGGGAGTGTTCCTGCTGCTTCTGTGTGGAGCCCCGCTCGGTTACAGCTGCTGCTGTCAGCCCTGCTGCCCACCTGGAGTCTCCCACGGAAATGCCGTTCCCAATCCCTCTGCCCCTTCTGAAAAGGAATTCAGCCAATTCTAAACAGGGTCCATCCATACAGACTGGAGCTAGCCCAGCCATTATTTGCGGTCCAGTTTTGATTATCAGTGTGTTAGGGGCAAGTGATGATTGTAAAACTTGTTCCCCAGAGGAGTCAGACCAGACTCGATTAGGGAGGGCAAGATTGGGAGGAAGCCAGCTCATCCTGGGCTCTGTCCTAGGGCTTCCCACCAGCACTTCCCATTGGAGACTGGTGCCTGACCAGCACCGCGTCAAGCCATGCCAGGCATCTGCCCACCTGCCAGCTTCAGTCCTTTAAGGTGCCTCTTCAGGGACACAGTGTGTCTCTCTGATTGGGCTTCTAAATCAAAAGCCTGATGTTCGTGTCCCTCTCATAGGGGGAGCTTTGGACACAGGACCAGTTTGGGAAAGGGTCAGGTAGGGGTTTCCACTCTGCACATTGTAGAGGGGACACTCTGTAGGCCCATGGGTCCCTTACTAGACAGATTGAATGAATTTGTCTTCAGTTAATGTGGGACCTTCTGTTTAGCTCCCTCCTGCCTCCCAAAGATTTTAACCATTTTGTAAATGTATAAACTCACCTCGTTAGCAGTGGTCTAGAAGCTTCTTTGTGCTAAGAGCATGGGAAGTTTAAAGGCAGTCATTCTCTGGGAAACGGATCCTATCCTTGACCTGCTGCCCCTACCCTGTTCCTGAGGCCTCAGTAGGGTAGTCCCCTGTAAGGCTGTCGGTGCCCAGGGTCCTAGCCAGGCCAAGTATATGAAAAGGTAAGTCCATTTCCCCCCTCAGGTCTTCAGTTGGTTATTTAACCACTGTTGTTCCTCATTCACCTGTTTTGTAAAACGGGTCTAGTTTAGTTTTGTTTTGTTTTCTTAAAACCCCCAGAAATATCTGCATTCAGACAGGGGGAAAGAGGTCAGGTCTGGCCAGCTGCCCTGTGCTTTGATGTCCCTTTAATGTCACAGGGCCTGCCCTAAAGCAGACCCTCCACTTTGGGCCTCCTGGGGTCTTTGCTCGCATTTACCCAACTTTGATACATTCCATTTTGCTCTGCTTTCCCCTTCCTGGTGCCGTTTGGAGAGTAGGGGACCCGCTTCCCATTGTGGCTGGGCTAGGCTCCGGGATTCTGACTATCTTGCTTACAGATTCATGGTTTGATAAATTTGTTGTATTCAAAAACTTGAAATGTAGGACGCCATTAAGTGTCTGTTTATATTTTTGGAATATTTGTATTACTTACAATTAATAAAAGTGGTTTAAGAAACCTATTCAGGAATGAGAACCGCCTCCTGACTGTTGCCCCTTTACTTGGTCACTTCGTGGGCACTGCCCTTCTTCCCTTCTAACCCCTTGGGTCAGGTAAAGCTGGGGAGCCCAGGCTGAGCAGACTTGTGCACCCAGCTGGGGGACCAGCTGCAGATTCAGCACTGAGCTTCTGCTCAAGGTTACATACAGTGAGTGGTGTGTCCAACTCCACTGCCATCCAGGTGCTTATCAAGCATATGCTTGGTGTACTATTGACTTCTGGGCAAGAACCAAAAGCCCTAAGGGATTAGAGTCTTGATTCTTCTGTGCCTCACCCATTCTTCAAAACCAGAAGCCCTAAATTCAGAGCCCAGCATAGTTCTTGGCACATAGTAGGCACTCGAATATTGATTGTATTGATGTCTGACTCATGCAGACCTCCAAAGAGCTCAACAGCATGACCTGATAACACTCTCGTGGCTCCTCTCCCAGACTTCCCCTCCCTCTGAGAAATGCCCAGAAGCTTCTCAGAGAGGTTCTCGCCAGCCTGCACATCCCAGGCACCCAGAGCAGCTCCAGTGTCTGCCTCCTGTCATCAGCGTAATGCATCCATATCTACAATATGGCAAATTTCATATCCTCCCACCCTCTTTCCTGCATTATTGATGGGCTGTGCACTTTTAAAAAATCAATTAGCTCAGGGTGTGGAGCTGGAGTTAAAAGAGAAAAGAAGCCTTTAAAAGTCTCCTCTTGTTTTGCTGTTTTGAATAGGAACAGATAAAGCTTTCCCTCTGGTTTGAATAAGTCAAGCCCCATGCTAGGGAGGCTGTGATTGGCCAGGACCAGGAAAATGTGGTTAAGATGCAAACACAAGCAAATATAATATGACCCGATATCTGTGCGGCCATCACTAAGCTACAGCAGCAGGGCCTGGAGCCTCTGCTTTGGGGTGGTTCTTCCTGCGGCTGCCTGCTTGCCACAGCTGGGAAGACCGTGAGCGAGAAGGCAAGGTAAGGTCTCTGAGTTGGGGGCAGTCAGCCGTTCCTCATTGCTACTGAATGAAGAAGAAATAAAAGCAAGAGGTTCCTGGAACTCCCTTGGCTTTGTCTTCTGGGATGAGGCTTTTAAAGGGTTGAACACGGAGTCTGTGAGCAGTTTTGTAAACTTCCTACTGAGAAGTAGATGGGCTCATCTGGGAGACAACTGCACAGATAGGACACATTTTTGAAATCTGGAAAAGACGGAACAGATCCCTTTCACCTATTCCTAGAAATGAGATGCAGGGCAAGGCAGAATTAAAACCAGCTCCCTCTGCTTGGGGTCTGTCCGTAACTTCTCTCTGTGAGAACTGAAGGCCACTGGCTTTTACCTTGGAATTTCAGAGTGGATCCACTCCAGGGGGTTCTGAGTCCTATCAAAGGATATGGAATTAAAGAATCAGGACTTAGAGAGGAGAGAGGGAGAGTTTTGGGGGACTTACATGTCAGAATTAAGTTTTCTGGGTGTCCTGGTGTGGCAGGAAGTCCCATCCAGGGCCTATCCTCTTTTGCCCGGTAAGCTCCTTCCCGAGTCCTAAGTTCCTGGGGCAATAGGATGGCTTTCAGCTTCTGAGGCTCACAGTTCTAGTTAAGGCTGTTGGTTTGCCTTTTCCAAGGTTGACACTTCTCTATCTCCACAAAATGAATCCACTGGACCTTATCCCCTTCCCTAGTTGGGTCATGGCATTTGCTTTGAATGACTGAAATTTCGGGTCTGAAGAAAACCCGAACAAACGTTTCCTGGCAATACTGAGCAGCAAAGGGTGGGGCAGCGCAAGTTACCAAATTAAATCCTCAAACACTGGCTGCTCCGCCTCACTGCCCTGCCTTAGTCCTGCTCTAGCAGTAGACAAAGGGAGTTTGCTTTTTTGCTTTTTAGCCAAAGTCCATACTAAATAATGGCACTCAGTCTCCAAACCTGGTTTCATCCATCAAGGCTCTAGAAAAGAATGGTCAGACACGCCCATTTTGAGCAGCACAATGAGACTCCAAACAGCAAAGCTCCACGTTCCTTCTGGGTGGTTGTTTTTTATCCTGTGTAAACCCATTGATCCCAGCATTTTTCCTATGCCTCTTGGGAGAAATTAATCTAGTATTCATTAGCTATGCTCAGACTGTAAGCTCCTTGAGAGCAGGAAGCCGGCTGGTGTTTTATAATACAAGCCTCTACACGACCCTGTCCCTGCCGAGGTTGTTCAATAGCCCAATGCGGGTGTTCAGCACAGATGGTGCACAGTCCACACGGACTTCTCCGCCACTTCCTCCCTCTCTCCACCCTGCCTTGCTCCATCCTGAGGGAACTGGAGGCCTCTAAGTTCTCTGAGGGCGACTCTTCCACAGGCAAGCTTGGGTCTGTGTAGGGTGGGCACGGAGGCCACCAGCCTGGGGCCACACCAGGCCGTACCCGCCTTCCACCCTTGTTTGTCCCAGCCCAGTACTGCCATTTTACCTTCCCTTTACTCCTAGAAGGCACAGGGAATATATTAGTCATATGACAAAAGCAGGAAGGGTTGAATTTTAGGAGTATTTACTTTGAAAAATAATAATAAGTAAAAGCCGGGAAAAAAAACAGGTCTAAGAGCTATGGAGAGGACCTCAGATGCAGGGGATCGGGGAGAGTTGGGAGAAGGAGAGCGAGAGACGGCAACTCAGCTCGGAAACACGTTTTTGACCAGCTTTTCTGCCCAAGCGCCACTGAAATTCAGACAGGTATAGGATGGGTTAGTCTAGAAGCACAGTTTTTAGGCTCAGACAAGGATTTCACTGTCACGTGTGACCCTGAGGGAGTTCCTTAACCTCTGTAAATCTCCACTTTACTGCAGTGAAAGTTGAAGAAAGCACACTTACCTTCTGAACAGTAACTGAGATAACATTCGCAAACTGAACCAACACAGGGCCTGACACACTCGCCACGCCTGTGGTGAATGATGGTGGCTTTAGCAGAGCTCTCCTCAAGGGGAGGGGAAGGAAATGGGACGAGTGAAAAGGTGTGGGGTGCTCCACGGACATGGCAGGATGGCGACAGGAGACGGGGAACTGACTTAGAGGACAAACTGGGCTGATGCCTCTGCGGGAGGCATTACTTTCCCTCCTACTCTGTGACGTTTCAGCCCTGGAAGGAGAGCACCATGTCCCTGAGCAGTGCCTTCAGAGCTGTGGGCAACGAGCCCGGGATCATCACCTGGAGAATAGAGGTGAGCGGCTGCAGGCACACCTTCCTCCCCACCGAGAGATCTGGCAGTGGAGTCTGGCTGCCCAGGGCGGCTAGATACCAGGCCTCCAGTAGTCCTTACATGGCCTGTGGCTAAGAACAGGGAGAATGAGCATCCGAGTGCCTGTTTCCCATCTTTGACCTCTCTCAGGTGCTTGAAGCAGGTGGGTGGCAAGCCCTACTCTCCTAGTCCTGGGAGAGCAGGGCTCCAAGGGAAAAATAAGCTTGTCCTTTCTCCAGCCATCTGCTCGGTGACTGCACTTCCAGTAAATGCCCTGGAAAGGTAGGTGGGACTCACCCAGGAGACCCCTGGCTGCTCCCATCAGAGAATGGAACGTGTCTTCTACGGGGCACTGCTCATCCCTTCACCTGGGCTTGAGACCCTCTGGGTCTCTGCCTTTGAGCTTCAGCAATCCACTGCTTGGAGCCATGCTGGCCTGAGGAGCTCCACTGGCCCTTATGAGGACACTTCCCCAACCCCCCTTCCTCTCCCCCACCACTGTTGTGCTCTGACCCCAATCAGAGGGTAACACCCAGAAGGGTCACCTGACTTTGCCACCCTGAGAAGAGAGGGGGAGCTGAGCTCTCTAGCTAGCCTCCCAGAGACTAAGAGATCCAGCTTACTTCCATTGTTTTAAGACTCCCGATCTCCGATTTAAGCTAGACATTGTGGCAGGCGCCTGTAGTCCCAGCTACTTGGGAGGCTGAGGCAAGAGAATCGCTTAAGCCCAAGAGTTTGAGGTTGCTGTGAGTTGTGACATCACGGCACTCTACCCAGGGCAACATAGTGAGACTGTCTCAAAAAAAAAGACCCCTGATTTATTTCAAAACTAATATCTACTAAAAAAGAGTTGCAAACATTGTGGTATATTTACCATTTTTACATTTAAAACACACATTTTACAGAGAACACACATAGGTGTGGCTGCAGGTCTCCCCCAAGTGGAGAGGGGGGCAGAAATCTTTAGCTGAGGCTGTGAAGGGCTCTCCTGGAACAGGCTGTCCCTGTAGTGACAAATCAGGGCCCCGACCCCGGCTCCAAAGATGAGATTGGCACAGAGCCCCAAGCTGCTGGTGCTCTCCCACCTCGATGCCTAGGCCCCCAGAATCGTGCTCATTTCTGTACAGGCCATGACCAGCCCTGGTGGTCAGAGTTGGGAGCACAGTGGTGAAGGCGCAGGGTTTTACTTGGAAGTTCATGTCACACTTTTTTCCCTGCAAAGGACTGAAGTGGTTCACAAGGCTCCCCACCAGGCAGGAAGTAGAGCAAACAGGGCCAGGGAGACCAGGATAGGGACCCAGATTCAGATCCAGGTGATGTAGGTAGAGCTCACGGAAGCCAGAGGGGGCCACATCATTCTTAGGGCCCTATCAGGCCACTGGAAACATCTCTTTACCTCTTCCCTACTACCTGTGCCAAAGGACAGACGGGAGGGGGCTTGTGTGGGAGAGAGGAAGGCAGGGATGCAGCCCACACACACCCTTTGTACTTCCAGAAAATGGAGCTGGCACTGGTGCCCCTGAGTGCCCATGGCAACTTCTATGAGGGGGACTGCTACGTCGTCCTCTCGGTGAGCATGCTCCTCCCTGCTCCTGGGAGCTTCTCCCCTGGGAACTACTTCTTGGGCTGTACTGGGAAATGTACTGGTGAGGGAAGGTAATCAGGTGCCTGGTATCTGTCTCAGTTATCCCAGTTTGACTGTCACAGGCCATCATTAGGCCTGGGTTTTAATTTTGCATCTTAGAGTTGGGGTAAGGCCCTCAGTGGGAACCTTGAGCCTCCCACAAGCTGCACTCCTGCCCTGGGAACCCAGGACCCACAGTGCAGTGGGGTCGGGGAGGAAGGCCAGGTGGACATGACCTGTCTCCAGCCTCTGTGCTCCTTCTCATGGAGAAGCCTGCTGGGCACAGCACAGATGCACAGGTCAGCACTGTGCCCTGGAGCACATGTAGGAGCCCGGGGCCTGAGAAGCAGGCCTGCCACCCAGCCAGGAGAGAGCCCCACTGGTCTCTGTCTACTCAGGGAACAAGCTGCTAACTTTCCCTGTCAGTGGGGAGGAACTCAGGCTGCCAAAGCTTGACCAGATCAGAGGTCTACACAGGGGTTGGGGCAGCTCCGCTACCCACTGCAGGGAGACGGGGGCACAGCCTGATGAGGACAGGGCACAAGCCACTGTGTGCTGCATTCTTTCCAGGCCAGAGGGGCAGCAGCCAAGGGGCCAGGGGCTGGCCCCTGACTTGTTCTCTCTGGCTGCACACTAGACCCGGAGAGCGGGCAGTATCCTCTCCCAGGACATCCACTTCTGGATTGGGAAGGACTCCTCTCAGGACGAGCAGAGCTGCGCAGCCATCTACACCACCCAGCTGGATGACTACCTGGGAGGCAGCCCTGTGCAGCACCGAGAGGTCCAGTACCATGAGTCTGACACCTTCCGAGGCTACTTCAGGCAGGGCATCGTGTGAGTAGCCATGCACAGAGCAGGCCAGAAACCGCCGTTTACAGAGGAGGAGGCACAAAGGGCCGAGAGCATATGGGGAAAGTAATCAGAGGGATGCAAATCAAAGCAAAGATGTCACCTCTTCCTACTAGAGCAGCACACGTTAGGGGCTGGGTAGGTGCCAGGTGTCAGTGAGGCTGTGGGGAGTGCCCGCTGGTGAGAGTGTCAACCAGCACAGCAATCTGGAGAGTAGTCACTGTCTATATAGTCACTGGGCATAAAACTCAGAGAAATCCTCACATACCCAGGTCCACGAGGGCCCGTGAACCTGAATGTTCATGGCAGTGCCTGGAGTGGGGTGGGAAGCTGCAGGTGGCGTTAGTGCCCGTCGTAGGCAGGCTGGCCCTGCACACCAAGGAGTGTTACGTGGCAGCCAGGAGCAGCCGGTCAGATGAGCACTTAACACACACACAGACAGACCTCACATACACGGGGTGCGGCACACAAAGTGAAAAGACTGAGATACGGAACAGAATACCAATTTTTAAAAATACACGCACACACAAAACAACAGGATATGCGTTACCAGAATGAAAATGAAAGTGAGACTTTAAACTGTTAGGAGCAGACGAGAAGTGGGAGTGAGACGGGCAGGTAACAGGGACTGCAGACACCTACAAACACCAGAGGGGCTTGCAAGGGCAGTGGTGACGATGTTGTACCAACTGAGAAGTTTAATCAAAACTTGGCGCTTAAGATTAAAAACAAAAAGAGGAATTCCAATGAGCGTGAGAATTCTGAGGCTAGGCAAAGCCAGCTCTTGCAGGTCAGTAGTCATCCTGACTGAGGACCTGCCGGGCACAGTACACCACAATGAGCCACCAGGGGGCCCAAGGACAGAGCCCTCTGCTCCGTTCCCTTCAGCGGCATTCCCTTCAGATGCAGGACACCTGGTTCCGAGGCTGGGTTGGGGCGAGTGCGGGGCAGGAGAGTTGACTCCTGGGGTGAGTCCTATACCCAGGCCCTCGTGGACCTGGGTATGTGAGGATTTTTGTGTGTTTTATACCCAGTGACTATATAGGCAGTGACTACTCTCCAGATTGCTGGGCTGGTTGACACTCTCACCAGCAGGCACTCCCCACAGCCTCGCTGACACCTGGCACCTACAGTAATTCTTCTGCGGCTGCCCAACTGTGCCCCTCTCCTGGGGGCACACTGATATTCAGGTGGTTCCCAGAGCAGAGCAAGCCCTCCATGCTACAGTCTACCGCTAATGTTTCCTCTGCCTGGAGCAGTTTTTGTCGAGCTGTGGGTTCTTTTTCTTTTTTCTTTTCTTTTTTTTTTTT